AGAGAGAGAGAGAGAGAGAGAGAGAGAGAGAGAGAGAGAGAGAGAGAGAGAGAGAGAGAGAGAGAGAGAGAGAGAGAGAGAGAGCAGATACGAACGAGGACACCGAGACGTTTGAGGCCCGTAAAAGAGACATCAGCATTCAGCACCATTTTGAATCCAAAGGAGAAGCCCGTTGGTAGGTACATTGGTATCTACTCTCAACGTTTGTTCGTTTGTGCGTTTGTTCATTTGCTCATCGGGTCTTGATGTCTGCTGACCAGCATGTCCGATTCGTTTTGTGTTTGCCTTCAGCATCTGGTTCTCTGCACCCTTAGACCTCCAGTAGCTTCTCCAGCTATCGCTGCATTGCCACGCTGGATCGTCATGAATTATTTTTTTTGTCCTCGTGCATCAGGCCTTCACATCCCAGCACGTTTGCGGCCGCACTTCGGGGAAGCACTGGTGGTTTAAGCTGTGGCTGTGAACTCGTCACCCGGTACCTGCCTGCACACTCATCACCTTGCTGATACTTTGTTGTCATCATCATGCGCTGTGTTTTGACCTGAGTCAGGCCAGCAGATTGAATGAACTGGCATCCAGCTGCTATGTTATTAACTACCAAAGCTCTTGGAGCCGTGCGGTAACTACCAGAGTTAACCAAACTACCACAGTTAACAAAGCGGTGCTCTAACCACAGTCAATCAAGCAGGCTGTGAAGTGTAACCCAAGGTAGACAAGCTGCGGTTTGTGCCGGAGTTAACGGAGCTGTGGTGTAAACTACCAGAGTTAACTGAGCTGTGGTGTGACTGGATTGAAGAACGGAAGCAAGACAAGCACGGAACTGTCCATTGGTATAACTAGATTCAACCGCCAGTACATGGCCCCAGCCTTGCTGAAAAAGAAACTCGTCACCTACGGAAATTTCAGAGGCTTGGCCTACTGGACCACAATGGCTGGTGGCACCAGCGAGAAAAAAAAGAAGAAAAGTGCGCCGCTGGCGGTTTGGAAAAGCTTGGCGCACGGTAAGGCACCTGCAGGCCCGGGTGTACTGGTGGTTTAAACCACCACTACCTTTCCCAGGCAACGTCGAGCATCGAACATGTAACATTCCGGGTTCTTTGGATGAACAGTGCACTACCAGACCACGTTGGGCTGGCGGCGTCAGCCCAAAAGAACGGAAAAAAATGCCGTGCTTCGGCAAAGCTCGGCGTGCAGTTCTTTTACGCCTCGGCAAAAATAGGCTCGAAGGTAGTGGTGGTTTAAAAAACAAGCGAGGAAGCAAGCAAGCAAGCAAGCAAGCAAGCAAGCAAGCAGCAGGGCTTAAGGTGGCGAAATTGGCAAAAGCTAACTGAGCAAGCAACCAATCACTGAACTGAGAGGGTATATTAATAACTGTTGGTAAATAAACCCGGTAAGTTTTGGCATAGAACCCTCTTTAAGCACGTAAGTTACCCCAGCTCAATTCTCTGTAGAGAGAGTTGTGAGAAGATAGCTGTACCCTATTCCTTGGCTCTGTGACAAGGTAAACCACCAGTACCCCTGAGGCTCATTTTCCCACTGCTCGAATCTGCCCGCAGATGAACTACAGACTACCTACCTTCTTCTAAACCCTAAAACGTACGGTAGCCGTATCTAGGCTAAAATGTGGCCCAAATTTTCAGCTATAAATAATGACCGTACGTTTTATTCGGGTGAAGAAGGTAGTACAGAACTGCTGTGGGGGTCGTGCCTAGCACTAGCGTTGATATTTGCCTGCATTTGCACCAGTATTCTTTTGCATCAAATTGGCAGGCCTTTTCTTTTGTTCAAAATTGTTTTTTATTTTTCTATCATTTTCACTTATACAGCGACGGCATGTACCCTACATCCACGATCGTTTTTCAAATATCTTTTTGTTGAAGGAGATTAGCTTAAAAGAAATCGCCGAAGTGGGGACACTCGAAATCCTGCCCCCCCGAATCTGGGGCTGACTGCCCGCCCCCAGCAGACCCAATCTTACTGTGGGCCTGTGCTAACCAGTGCGGTCCCATGTAATCGTGGATAGCTGGGCGAGGTTGCTCACATTGCCAGAGGTCCGGAGCTCAACTAGGGATGAACTTCGGGCTTGCGAAAAGACAACGGTACCTTATTTCTCGACATCGTGACAAGGTCAAGCAAGCAAATTATCAGCGCTCCATTGGTTGCGAATCTGTGAAAACGTAGGCATAACTATTCCATGGAGTCTAATGAGGAAAGTGTTAGGGATCTGACGAGTATGAATTCTAATTAGGAAAGTGTTAGGGACCTGACATGACCACGTTTTGCTTGCTTTTGGATGTCTGGTGGCAGCCGTACGTAAGATCAGCATCAGTTAATCTGGCAACGGAGACTGCGGTTGTGAGAGTGGGTGGTGATGGTGGTTCGATTGATACGGCACCGATGGGAAATGTGGAACTCGGAGAGGCCCTTGCTGAGCATCTAACCAAATGTGGTTTCAAGTCAACCGTGCGAGGTCAGTCCAGGGCATCCCCTTTAACCAGTTTCATTAACCCTGGTTATACCAGGATTTCCATTGAGGAGATTTCTGCATGCTGTTCTACTTAGTTTCTATCATCACTCTGTACATTCTTGCCCATCGGAAACCCTCTGAGGACAATCTGGAAGTGCAGATGCAGTATCACGCTGGACAGAGCAAGGAATCCAAGCGAAAAAAGCCATGGCCATCAACCAAAGGCATCATTGAAGCAGAACTCATCATCAAAGCAGAAATCATCATCGGAGCAGAAATCAGGTGCACATGGTGGCAGGCGAAGGATTGTATGCAAGATAATGTGCAGATCAGGAGGCCAGAAATACCGCCGACTTCCAATGCAACTGGCTAGTCAACGGCAGTGTAGCAACAAATAATGGGTTACAAGTTACAATTTAGAACTTAGAACGCACATGGCAGGCTTGGCGCAACTCAGACGCTGCAAACAGGCGACAGAAGGGACCATCCTCAGGAGGAGCGGATGCCAATTTGGACATGACGTAATGATGTAGAACAGGAAGGAGGAACACTGAAAGACAGGCGGGAACAGGAAATGGCACATGGCTGAGCAATGGACTACACCTTCAATCCTTCAGCGATTCTCGGACTTCATGGAGATCTGGCAGTCTACGTATGCGTAGGAGGAATTCAAGGAGTAAGGAGGAATTCGAAGAAGGAAAAAACTTCAAAAAAGGCAGGCCTGACAGTCAATCCTCCCTCTAAGGAGCAATCAATGCTGTTCAGGGGGTCGTTCGGCCGAAATGGAAGGAAGCGTTGGCGTATAAATAAGGGTTGTAAAACTTTTGACTTGCCGGTGGAGAAAGAACCGAACTGATGGTCCCCAGAGTAGAACGGAACCGGGACCATAAGGCCCTGAACCACTAGTACCTTTGCCGAGTGGGAAAATAGCGGGCCCCTGGGTGGGCCTCCGACCTTTTAGGAGGCCACGAAACGACGGCCGCTGATGAGATTTATCAATGGCAGCCGTCATCGGACCCGGCCTCCCATTTCTTAGGAGTTTGGGAAAACGGCCTGTTCTGAGTTTTCCCTATTTTCGCAACACTGGCGGAGGTACTAGTGGTTTATGTTAATTGGAAAAAAAGGGGTCCATTCAAATACACAGGGGCTGGGCCAGGGTTTCTAAGGACGTTTACTTAAGATTGACGATGATGTTATAGTCGATAACACCACTGAATGTCAAATACCTTGACGAGATTTCCGAGGGGTGGCTGTCTGGGGTATTCAAACAATATCTGAATGAGTGTTTCCATTTTTCCAAGGCGCATGTGTTATGAGAATATCATTTGCTCTTTCCATGGCGCATGTGTGCTGGTGCATATGTGTTATGTATGTATGGAAGAATGCTGAGAACCTGGTCTTTTTGCTGTTGAGACTGTCTGGATCATGACATTGACTCTGCGTCCCTGGTGCCAGACTCTGGAATAAATAAGACGGGCACAAATCTCAGCCCTGCATCTCTGAGAAAGAGACAAGAGCGACTGGCAAAGCTGAAAGACAGTGGTAAGAATTGATCAGTGCTCTTCACCCAGTCCCCCCTCCTCATCCTCCTACTTGTCCTCCTCCTCCGGTCCTGCTTGTTGTCTCCTTCCTCCTGCTCCTGCTCCTCCTGCGCTTTATCCCCATCTTCCTCCTCCTGTTCCTGCTCCGCCGGCTTGTCTTAATTGTCATCCTCTTCCTCCTCCTGCCGCTTCTACTCGTCCTTCTCCTACTCCTCTTTTCTCCCGTTTCTCTCCGTCCTTCTCCCGTTTCTCTCCGTCCTTCTCCCGTTTCTCTCCGTCCTCCTACTCCTCCTGCTTCTCCTCGTCCTTCTCCTCCTCCTTCTCCTGCTTCTCCTCGTCCTTCTCCTCCTCCTCCTCCTC